ATTGTCACTGCCCTCAACCTCCAATAGCATTCATCAAAGCTGAAGTAAGATCAGAGGCCTTTTTGGAGGTGTACAAGATCATCTTCTACAACTGTCAAGTGGACAGTCACCACCCTCTACGTGCATGTCTACCGGCAGTTCTACCGCGACTGCACCATCACCGGAACCATCAACTTCATGTTCGGGAACGCAGCCGCCATTTTCCAGAGCAGCAAGTTGATCATCGGGAAGCCGCTGATAACCAACGGCTCAGCCAATCTTGCATGGAAACCACACAGGGAAGAGCCCAAGCCGACGGACCTTCCGAATCGCAATCTTCAACTCCACACTTATAGGCTCATGGGGCTTGCATTGGATGTGGTGGAGTCGCGGTCTCTACGGATCGATGCACAATGTCGTTGCCATCGCAATCTTCATAGAAGTAGAAACAACGAACAAGACAAAATCAAATCCAGACCTTGACACGACGATTCAATCTATTTTTTTTTCTTTCAAAAAGATGGCTGGTACGACAAGTAAAGCATGCAATGTGATCGTTAATTGCAATAGTTGTGATAAACTGAAAGTAGAGAGCATGTTCGAGCTTGTACAGCCACTCTCAACAAGAGCACCATTGATGAAATTAATTAACCCGGGGTCCGTGTTAATTAACCCAATTAATAAACAGACGCCTCCATGGAGAAAATATGAATGATAAAAGGATTGCAGAGAACCAATAAATAAGAAATAAATATGCAGAACACAAGATATTTAATGTGGAACCCAATACAGTGAAAACCACGAGCCTTTTTGGGCTAAGCCAAGCCGTAATCCACTAAGTTGTGTAGTACATGTACATAGAGTAAGTAGGCCATGTCCATGAAATATTTGGAAGAAGAAAGAACCTATACGTAGAAGAGAGGTCCCCCCGTTTGAGACTGGCGTGAATCTTTATATAATGCTATTTGTGCAGTTGTAACTTCCCGTAGCATTTCCTCTTTTCTTGCCATGATGACCTCTTCTCTTTGACTAATATATTGTTATTATTATTATAAAATAATAATAATAATAATAATAATAATAATAATAATAATAATAATAATAATAAGGCATGCATATTATATTATTCCATTAGTGTCAATGTTAAAAATTTCTTAGATTTATAAACCAGCTATAATTTCTATAATTTGAATTATTTTGGTAATTGCTCTTGTAATGCTGGATGTTTGGTTCGTCTAGTTTGAAGCCACATAGTGGCAGAAATGCTGCTTTAATACAATTATTTTTTTATTTGTTTTTTAAAATACAATTGTTATTTGATTAGCAGTATATCCAGGTTATCAAAAGAAAAGGAAATAATTTAAGATGTTCTTTCCAAAATTTAAAAAAAAAGAATTAACAAAGAAACGGACTTCACATGTACAGTTATGCTATTTTTTATTTTTTATTTTGAAAACAAGATGAATTATTTTAAATCAATGGAAACATTTGATTCAAACCAACAAGGATGAAAAAAGACCTGACCTTTTGATGCAAATTTATGTTTCTTCAAGAACAAAATCACCAACAACACTGTTCTGCTGTTGTTGCCGTCACCACCGCCACCGCCGGCTGCCGTCAAAATCGCCACCAATTGCTGCCACCAATTGCCAAGACTTACAAACAAGTTTGGAATGTTGATTATTGTTCAAAGTTTTGGGACCAAAAATCTTTGTTTTTGTTTTTCAATATTCAAATCTGGGTGGGACCATACAAGTGCTTTATAAATGTAAAAATCTGGGGTAGAAGCTGCTGGGGGAATAGATGAAGATGATGAATAAATAATATTAGGGTTTACTTTTCTAGATGAGTGGGTCCCCGTATTATCCACTGTACACACAACGTATAAAATAAAATACTTGGTCCCGTATTATACAAACAAGCGTAAGCGTAATGGGTAGAAAGACTTCAATTAATAATTGCATTGTGCTAGTCTGTTCCTTATACAACCGGACTGCTCCAACATGGTTTTTAATACTTGGGCAACACTTTTCATGCAGCTACTTTCTTGTATCCACCTCCAAGATTCTGCACCCTGGACAAAACCACCTGTTCGGTCTTATAATTACTAGATATGTCATCACATTACATAATTTATTTTTTATTAGTAGAAATCACATTACATAATAGTTAGTATTTAAATTTACAATTTATCCTATTAGTTATAATAATAAATTTTCATTGTCATTATCGATTATATTTATCAAAAAATTGTATGTAAAATATAAATTACATTTGCCAAGTATGCGTGCCCAATATGAATTGAAGAAGCATCTTTATGTACGTCAGACATGACTGCTCTGGGCAGCTTCGTTTGAACAGATGGATTCATAAATTACACAATTCACATAGCGATGGAATCTCTTAGATTAACTTTACAAAAAAGTTAAAAGAGTAAATACCTAAAATGGTCCCTTGACTATAGCTAAATTCACAAATTGATTCTCGACTTTTGATTTCAACCAATTAAGTTCTTAACTTTTCAATTTTGACACAATTTCGTCCTCTGTTAATTCCACCGTCAACTGACTGTGAAACCTAAGGACAGACTCGTAATTTTACATTCTTCCCTTTAATTCCGCCGGGTCCGAGGGCTTGGCAATACGTGAACTCATCGGTAAACATGACAAAATTTGCAACTCTCCACCATCCTTCATCGGGTCGCCGCCTTCGTCGTGGCCTACTCTTATTATGGGAACAGTGACACTAACATTAATGTTCACAGTGTTAACACTTCGTGCTACAACACGCCTCTGAGCTCTCCTCCCAAGCTACGGTTGCCCAGTTTGGGGAACCACCCACCTACCTCCTCTACCAGCTGATCCCGGCTTTGCCGAGAGAGCCGCCAAGTTTTCTTGTTTCAGGAGCCGTAGTTTCAACGGCAGAACGAGCCAATTGGGGTTAAACAGCAACTCTGAAACTCTGTATAGATCTTGTGCTCCATTAATGGGTAATGCCAGGTTGCCTAGGGTTTCGAGTAGCCCTGCCCTTAAGCAAGCTGGATCCCCGATGCAAAACATGAACTCCGGTCTATCCCGTGCTGAATTGAAGCCTGCAAACCCATTGCCTCCGGTTTCGGGCTCTGATCACAAGCTGGGTAGCTCCAATTCTAACGAGGCATCCTCTATTTCAGAGCAAGTGCCTAGTAGCGGGTTGAAAAGCCCTAATGATTTGACTTCCAGGAAGAGGAAAGCGCCTTCAAGAGGGAAAGCTAAGGTATCAACAACTAGGACTCGGATTTCTTCTCCGGAGGCGAACTCCGTGAGGCAAATGGAGCATTCGAAGAATTTGGAGGCAAGTTGGGGGGCGAAGCTGAGCTTGGGGAACGACTTGAGGATCTTCTTCTTCAGGCCTTTGTTGGCCGGAGGTAGAGGAGGAGCGGTGGCTCTAGCAGAGATCCGGTGGATCCAAGCGCAGCGAGCGACTGCCACGAGACCGAGGACGCAAATTAGGGCGCAGAGAAGCGCGACAAAGATGACAACAAAGTCGAAATCGAAGCCTCCGATTTGAGATTAATCGTTAGGCGGCAGAGTAGAAGAAGGTTGATTCGACGATTTTACACCGCCATGTAGAAGAGGGTGGCGTCGTGGTAGAGGAATGTTGGAATGATCAGTCATGTGGAAGAGGGCGGTGTTGGTTGTGCTGTGGGAGCAAAGCGGAGCGGAAATGAAGTGCAAAGGCGAGAACCATGTGAATTTACCTCTTTGTCCACGGATATCACGGTAAGTAGACGACCACACTAACAGAGGATGAAATTGTGTCAAAATTGAAAAGTTAAGGACTTAATTGGTTGAAATCAAAAGTCGATGACTAATTTATGAATTTAGCTATAGTCAAGGGACCATTTTGGGTATTTACTCAAAGTTAAAACCACAAAGTAAGAAGCAAAAAGTTAAAAGCGGCATAAAGTTGATTCCGAGAAGTTAATCCAGAACATTTAAGGGATTCCGAGTCGTTATTCTTTTGCTTAGTTACTTAAGTTTTTCGCGCTTTACGCCTAAGAGCAACCCCATCAGTGTATAATGTACAAGTCATGGAGAGTAGGCCTCAAGTTCAAGAGAAACTCACCCAAAACCAACAAGTGTCTAAGTAATAAAAGCACAATTTTACCAACAATTAGACAAATTACTCTTAAAGAAAACTAAACTTAGTCTAAACAAGAAAAGTACATTGTCCAAGCCCCAACTACAAAATAGCCCGTAACCAAGAATGTCCCAATTTTGTCAAAATTCAGCAACAAAATGGCACGCAAATCTCAAAATATGCCAGAATATCAGAAGCAACCCAAAAGCTAAGCAAGCTATAAGGAGGTACTATACACAAGCCCGCAAACTAGAACAAAAAGAGTGGCAGACAAGGCTGGATAGTTATACTGTGCATCCATATGCACCATGCATGGTGCATACGGATGCCAAAACGACGTCGTTTTATTAAAAAACGCGCGTCTCCCCTTTTAAAAAAAATTCAGGTTCGATTCCCAGCAACAACATTATATTGTTCATTCATTCTGGAATTTTAGTTCATAGATTATGGAATTATAGTTCATTGATTATGGAATTATAGTTCATCGATTATAGAATTGTAGTTCATCGATTCTGAAATTTTAGTTTATAGATTATGGAATTTTAGTTCATTCGTTCTGGAATTTTTAGTTCATAGATTAGATTATGGAATTATAGTTTATCGATTATGGAATTTTAGTTCATATGTTGTTGCTGAGAATCGAACCTGATTTTTTTTTTTTAAGGGGAGACGCGCGTTTTATTAAAACGACGTCGTTTTTGCATCCGTATGCACCATGAGCATAATTTGCCGACAAGGCTGAAGTATGAAACAATTACACAGGCCTAAAAAAATGTTGAATGCTTGTAGTTGCTTAACATATTTAATCATTGGACATGATATTTTCCACAATAAGAAGCCAATGACAACCACTCCAGTCTCCATATACATGTAGCATTAATTTTGTATAAAACTAAAGAGAAATAATAGTACGTACTATATGTAACCAATTAACCAAACAACCAATATACGCAATAATGTTTTGTTTAATTATTCTTGACAAGTTTTCTCTTGAGGGATGGTTTATTGTACCACTACATCCATATCCGGATATCCCTAAGATAACATAGCATCAGATGGAACATTTAAGCCTTCTTAAAGTTTACCTCCAAAGGGGGAAGGGAACTGTCTACTACCAAACGCCTGTGTCCGTTCTCGACCTTAATGCCAATATCTTGGCAAACAGGATTGCAGTCGCACAACGACACCGGACAAAACTTGAACTTGTACCCATTCTTGGTCTTCATAATCATGAACCAGCTTCTCGCCGTGGAAGAGCTCGGGTTTCCCTTATCTCCACCGCTCAACACGTACTGAACCACGTCAACGTTTTCCGGATCGTGTGCGATTTGCCAGACAGTAGACTCCTGGCATCCCGTGTTTGAGCCAGAGAACACGACGTTGAGATCCGTCCCATTGCGAACCGCGCCTTTGGGTTTCACGGGGAAGAACGATACCGAGTCGCCGTCCACTTTTGGGGCGACTTGGACGACGCTCTTCGGGCAGGTGTCGTTGCCGGTGGAGGATAGGTCGAGCCCTCCTCCCTGTTTCGGCTGCACTGGGACAACGTAGTACTTCACACCGCTTTGGACGGCCTTTCCGTCGGCGTCGAGCACCGTGAGGGGTGTCTGTGCTGCCTCGCAAAGCAAGGCGAAGAAGAGAAAGAGAGATAAGAATAAAAATGGAGTCTCCATTAAATTCCTATGTCTTGAAACTATCTATTATGAGATGAGGGAAGAGCCACGAACCTAGCAAGGATTTAATAGGGCTCAGAAGTGTGGGGATCGGATGTGTCTATTAAATGATTGATGGATTTGTTCTTGTTTGGTGGAGGTAAAAAATCAAGTCCAACACCAAGTTACTGGAGATTGTTTAAGTAGGTTTGAAAAATCAAAACTATCATCTTGAGAATTGTTTCTCGAAATGTGGGGATATAAAAAATAAAATTAAATCTTTGTTACAAATTATAACTTTTGCATAATAGTGAGCTTTTGAATTAACAAGTGATAATAGAGCTAGTTCATGTGTTCGAGTACTTACCCATTTTTGGTTCAAATAAATGAGGAATGAATTTGATGGAATTAGGATTATTCAGCCCAAAATTAATAATGGAAAAGTATAAGTTTAGAACAATTTTAATGAGGGCTTTTGGGTCAATTATATTTTTGCGAAGTAAGAGAAAATGATGTGGCTAGGATAGAGTTGTGAACTAGAGCAAGATGAATTGAAGAAGCATCTTCACGTCAAACATTGCTGCTTTGGGCAGTGATGTTTGGTGAGGTTTTTTGAGACTTTTAATTCTAAGTGAAAGTGAGAAAATGAGGAGTGAGAATATGAAAATTTTTTACTAGAGAAATTGATTTTTTTGTGTCGGTAGTGAGTACCACCTAAAAAACAACATAATTTTCGTGTGCATGCGCACCAGAAGCGCCAGTCAAGTGGGTTAACATAGCTTAATTCGTTTTTTTTTTTTTTTTTTTTTTTTTTTTGTTTTTTTTTTTCTTCCCTCTTTCTCTTCTACTACTTGGCACCTTAAAATTTGTGCAAAAAATCAAACTATTGAGAGCATCTTCAATAGTAATTGATTTTTTGTGGTTTTTGAGGTGTCAACTAGAACAGAAATGATGGAGAAAAAAAAAAGAAATTTGCCAAAAAAAAAAGAGGATAAAAAGCAGTGCATTACGCACCTACTGGGCACGATAATTGCGTCACACGTAATTTTTCTTTGCTTTTTCCCTTTTCTCAGACATGTAGGGACCCACAAAAAAACCATAATAGCAGGAGAAAAAATCAACTCAAAAAGCAATCACCACATTTGTTGAAAACCAAACATCTAGTTTTTACTATTCTAAAAATCATGTAAAAATCCCTATTGTGGATGCCCCGAGGATGCTCTTGTCAAATTTCACAAGGATCTTTGTATATACTTAGGTTTAAGAGCATTTCTATTAGTAGTTTTTAAGTGATTTTTTATGGAGCCAAATGTGATATGGAAGAGAGAGAAAGGGGAGAAAGAAGGAAAAAGTGTCTCACCAAAAGAATTTCATTTATTGTTTTTCTTTTTTCTTTTTCTTGTTTTTTTCCCTCAGTCTTTCTCTCCTACTTAGTTCATAAAAATTTGTGAAAAAACTATACTAATGGAGTTGCTCTAAGTAATTGTCATTGTATGAACGTGAAGAAAGCGGATAAATACATCTTTGTCTACAATAAAATGAATTTGGATATAATTTACTTTCTTCTTTCAAATGTGCACAAGGGATCCAATCATTGTTGTGTGGATGGTACAATCATTATTGTATGGACCATTATTTTATTTAGGAGAATACATTATTTGAATACTGTTTGAATATTGAAAGTACATTATTTTGTATAATGTACATTTAGTACAAAAATAATGTTCTTTTTAGTATATTAAATGTACTTTTTTTTTTTTATAGTCTACACAATAATTTGTCCAAGAGATTTGGCACTTTAGATATAATCATTACACTGTCACTGATTAGTTTTAAATGTTGATATCTTCTTTTAAATACTTCTACATACTTAACTAGTGAACTAAATTTGTTAAGTAACTTTTTCCACATACAAAAATCATTAAAAACGAGTTAATAACAAAATAGTTCCTCGACTATAGCATATAATTAACTCCTCGACTATCCAGTTTAACAAATTAAGTTCTCAACTATTCAACGTTTACTCAATAAGGTAGTCAACTATTCAATCCTTACTCAATAAAATCATCGGCTATTCAATCCTTACTCATTAAGGTCCTCAACGAATGATTGATTTGTAAATTATTGAGTAATAAAAATTGAATAGTTGAGGACTTAATTGATAAAATTGATAATTGATTACTAATTTGTAAATTATGTCATAGTCGATGGACCATTTTGGATATTTATGTAGGAACCGTTGGTAGGAAAACAAATAATAATCAAATAAAATTGACTATTATTTTCTGAAAAGAAGGGAAGAAAAGATGAAGAAATTTGGCTAGTGTTTGGTGTTGGGTTTTTTGCAAGAGTCAAGTGAGCACTCTTTCCTTAAAACCTTATTTGCCACCTCCCAAAGATGCTAGGAGCGTTGTGGCCCAGGCTTTCCAGGATAAAACTTGCTAGTGATTCAATGTTTGAGCACTCAAACGAGGAATCCGGCGAGCAAGACACGGCTATGAACACAGTAGGCAAAAGAAAGAGTAGAAGCAGAGAGGTTTTGAGGCTAAAGGATGAACTTTCGTGTTCAGTATTTTCTGTGTGTAAAACTCTACTGCCCAACTCCTCTTTATATAGGGGTGAAGGATTTAATAGCTTTTAATTAGGCACTTAAGGGCACCCCTCCACCTTCCTGTAACAGCACCATTAACATGGCCTCCAATTCAAAATTAAAAATTGAAATTAACTCAAAGAATTAATTTCGTAACAGTAGAATTGAACAGCCAACGGTCACAAACTGCACAGGTTCAACGTAGGCCGAAACTTCTAGTTTCGACCCCAGGCCGAAACTTCTAGTTTCGACCCCAGGCCGAAACTTCTAGTTTCGGCCATGGGCCCTTATCATGTCTCGGCCCGCAAGGCCGAGACTTCAGTTTCGGCCTATAGCCAATACTGCATGTTATTGGTTTCGGCCACCACAAGGCCGAAACCAAGGTGTGGCCGAAACTACCTACTGGTTTCGGCGGCCAAACCAAGGTGTAGTTTCGGCTACATCTTACAGTGGCGTGCTGGAAAATGACAGTCCGGCATAACTTGGCCGAAACTACCTACTGGTTTCGGCGGCCAAACCAAGGTGTAGTTTCGGCTACATCTTACAGTGGCGTGCTGGAAAATGACAGTCCGGCATAACTTAACCCGCAAGGCCAGCCAAATTCCGTGCACGCGAGCTCGGGCTTGAATCAAGCCTTTTTCAATCTCTGCTAGTTGGAATTTGATTTGCACCCCCCCCCCCCCCCCACGCGCGAGAAAGCCTCTATGCTATACAATTCTACAAGCTTCAAAAGAGCTCTTGTATATAAGGGGGGAAAATCTTCATTCCAAAGCAATGTGGGACAAAAACTCTTTTTTTCCCTTCATTTTCCAACTCAAATGGGTCTACTTTGAGAATCAATATCTCATTCACCCATTATCCGTTTTGAGTGTACAATATATCAAACTCTTTATCTCACTACGAAGAATCCGAATCCACTTTGACCCGACCCAAATCGGAAGTGGACCCTACTAATAATTGTACCACAAAATAGCCACTTAACATGCCATTTTAAGCTATTTTTTCCAACAATCCCCCACATGAATGAAAAATTGATTTTCGGGGTATTTTGAAATCGGAAACAACTGTGTTCAAACGGTCGATCCCTGCATAGGATAGGTAGGGAGTCACTATACCCTTTGAACCTTCCCTCGTAAAGACATGTTTACTCTACTGGCTGTACGGTAGAACGCGATGTCTTTGAACCGACTGCCGTTTGTGTAGATGATGACATATCTCACACAGGAATCTCCCAACCATGCTCTTGCTCTCACGAGTGTGCCCGTTTTGGTCGTGGGTCACCGTTCCTGGTTCTGCGAGAGTTTCTAAAGAATTGTGCCCAACAATTCTCCTTTGAAGCGACCCTCACTTCTCTCTAACATAGGTGATTCTTTCTTGAGTACCCCGCATACTCAAGAATCATTAAAGCATTAACATGCTAGCCTCTTGCGGGAGTCATTGTTTTAACGAGGAGTGGTAGGGAGTCCGAGACCCCCACAGTGACGCGCTCCGTTCCATAGTTTAGTTGTCCCATTGAACCTAGGTGCCAGCTAGGTTGGGTATCCACTATAGAACTTTTTAGTCCAAGGGCATTAGACCCATTCCTCGTGTCAACTTCTCCACAACTTCTTTGCCTAACCCTTTGGTCAACGGATCCGCTATATTGTCTTTTGACTTTACGTAGTCAATCGAGACAACACCAGTTGTGAGTAGTTGTCTAATGGTATTATGTCTACGGCGCACGTGTCTAGATTTACCATTATACATATGACTCTGTACTCTCCCAATTGTGGCTTGACTATCGCAATGCACACATATTGGAGGTACCGGTCTTTCCCAATTAGGAATATCCTCTATAAAATGGCGTAGCCATTCAGCCTCTTCACAACCTTTGTCCAAGGCTATCAGCTCAGATTCCATCGTGGATCTAGCTATCACAGTTTGCTTAGAGGATTTCCATGCAACGGCTGCACCGGCTAGTGTAAACACGTAACCACTCGTGGACTTAGAGTCCTTAATATCAGATATCCAGTTCGCGTAGCTATACCCTTCAAGTACAGCGGGATATCTCCCGTAGTGCAGTCCAAGATCACGAGTATACCTCAAGTATCTCATAACCTTTACTATTGTCTTCCAGTGCATAGCACCGGGGTTACTCGTATATCTACTGAGTTTACTAACCGCAAAGGCAATGTCTGGCCTAGTACAACTCATAAGATACATTAAGCTACCAATAACCCGAGCATATTCCACTTGTGAAATACCTTCTCCGTGGTTCTTGGTTAGATGAATGTTTGTATCAAACGGTGTCCTAGCCACTTGACTATCATCCTTGTTAAACTTCTCAAGGATTTTGTCAATATAATGTGATTGGCTCAACACGAGACCATCAGGTCTTCTAATGATTCTAATCCCGAGGATTAAATTAGCCAAACCCATATCCTTCATGTCAAATCTCGCATTTAACATGTTCTTGGTAGACTTGATCATCCGATCATTACTACCAACGATGAGAAT